ATATGGTCAGGCCTGCCAAATGAAAAACTGAAAACCAGAGACTCACAGACCATCCCAAAGTCTGGATGAAAGTTGGAATTTCAGGGCTCAATTTCAATTTCAGGCCTATTTCTTTTTTTTTAATTCTTTTATTGGTACATTTTAGGCATACATTTACATCTCTCATTGGGAACTTGTACCTTTACATGAGGGGCCTACTGCTATATCTTTTATTTCTTTCTTTCTTTTTTTTTTTGGTACCAGCCATCGAACTCGGCACCTTGCGCGTGTGAGGTAGGCAGTGGGACCAATGAGCTAAATCCCCGGTCCTCATTTCTTTATCTTAATTTTCTTTTCTTTTCTTTTTGGTGCAGGAGATGGAACCTGAGGCCTTGGCATCTAGGCACGTGCTCTACCACTGAGCTGTGGCCCCATCTTGCCTCTATAAGCAGGGCTTGGGTGTCCAGTGCATGCACTGTTCTTCCATGTTTCCGAAACAGCACTTCTGAAAAGTTTCTTGCAATTTAAGAACGTCTAGCATAGTCCCTCAATCACTGATGAGGGACAATGAGGATGACTTTTTCTCCAGTATTACAGCTGGATTTCTGGACAACCAGCTTTGCAATTTTCTTTCTTTCTTTTTCTTTTGAGAGTAGGAAAATGTATGGGGAAATAGGGATGGGGACTGTGAATGTGGGGTCCCGAGTGGGTTGCCCCTCGCTCTGTTTGTCTTTGGTTGTTTTTTTGGTGCTGGGGGTTGTACCCAGGCCTTGCACATTCTAAGCATGCATTCTGCTACGGACCTATGCCGCAGCCTAGTCTCTTTAGTTTTATCAGGTTGTCCTTTGTTTCTTTCTTCCTTCTGTCCATTCTTAATTTCTTCCAAATTTTCTACTGTTCGTTTGTTAAACGACTATATACCACTTTATAGTTAGGACAGATCCTAAATATAAGCATAGCCTCCTCTCAGGTAATTGCTATTTTTGGCAAGCAAACTGATGGGGAAGTCCTTTTGTCCCCTTTCTCATATGTTTTTTCTTTTGTGGCGCTGGTGATAAACACAGGGTCACAGTGATGTTAGTCAAGTGCTCACCACTGAGCTACATCCCAGCCCCTCATGTATCTTTTTTCTTCTCTGTTTCTCTTTGCTCTTAGCTGTTATTTTTCCTATGTATACTTTGTATATATTTCTGTATGTCACTTCCTCAGTGTCAAAATTCATTTCTAAATCATTAAGCATTAATGTTTTTCTCACCTAACCACTGCCAATATTTTCTAAAACTTTATTGTTTTGCCTACGTCATTTTCAGGGGAATTTTATAACTGTATTTCATGGAAAATATCAGTGATAAATAACCCTGCTTTACAGGAGGTGAAAGGATGTTTCTGAATTGTTTTGATATAGTTCCTTCTTGGTATGTTTAATTTCTCCTCCCCACAAGTTCTCGGGTAGATTCTTTTTTTATAATAAAAATAAATTTAATTCAGAATCCATATACTTATATAAACATCCAAGGTAAACTAAATAAAATCCCAAGTTTATTTGCATGTCTGAGAACATATACAGTGTACATATAGTGTAATACTATGTTGAGAAGCTACTTAATCTTGTGCAGATTCTTTGTAAAATAATGCTATTTTTTTTTTTTTTGTCACCAAGGATCAAACTTGGGACTTTGGGCTTGTGAGGCAGGTGGAGGAACCACTGAGCTAAATCCCTGGCCCCGTGCCTTTTTTAATTTTTAAAAATTGACTGTTATTTGGGATGTTTACAATTTAGATGTAATAAAAACTAGCTATTTTCTCTTATTATTTTCCCATTAGAGGACTAATAAATATTTCCACAGACACTTCACAACCATTTAGTGTTTTATGATACTTTTCTGTGTATTTCCCTCTATTTGTTAGTTTTTAGAAATGCTGATGGTGTAGAATACAGATGGTTCACATAATCTACAGATGGTTCTTTCATAATCATTTCTGATCATTCAGTTTCTCTCCCCAGAGGCATCCGTATAAGTTTCTTATGGTAATTTCTAGATAAGAAGTATACTTTGTGCAAATATGTGTTCATTTTTAAAAGCACATACTAGCACACTGTTTTGCATCTTGTTTTGTCACTTATATTTTGGAAATCTCTTCACATTGCTATATCAGTTAGAGCTGCCATTTTCTTTTTAATGCCTGCATGGGTTCCTTTTTGTGGATGTACTGTAATTTATGTACAGTCGTCCCTTGGTATCTTCAGGGCATTGACTCCAAGACCACAACCCCACTCCCCAATACCAAAACCCTCAGATGCTCAGGTCCTTCACATAAAATAACACGGTAATTTGCTTATAACTTACCCGTATCCTACTGTATATTTTAAATCATCTCTAGATTACTTATTACACCTAAGCTGTTATAAATGTTATATAAATTGTTGTATAGGGAATATTGTTTAGGGACTAATAACAAGAAAAAAATTCTGCAATGTTCAATACAGACGCAACTTAAAAAATTTTCTTTCTGTAGTTCTTTGAATTAGTAGATATGGAACTTCAGGATATGGAGGGCTGATTATAATCAGTTCTGTTTGGTAGACTTAATAACTATGAACAGGCCGGGCATGGTGGTGCACACCTGTAATCCTAGCACTCAGAGGGTTAGGCAGGAGGATTACTGAGAGTTCGAAGCCAGCTTGGGCTACATAGTAAGACCCTGTCTCAAAAAACACAACAAAACAAAACAATGGACAATGTTGCAGTAATTACCTTTATACTCATGGATTCTCTCAGGTATAAGCAAATCTACAGAATATTCTTAGGGGAATTGCTCGGTTAAAGGGTGTATTTTCAGGCTCAGCGGACAGAGATGACAGTCATGTGTACTCACAACAGTATGCCATTTGTGATGGATGGTACCTACACTTTTTAAGCAGCTAGAGAAAAATTGCATAGTTCACCTTTTCACTGGAATGTTCTTTTTTATATATGTTAAAAGTTAGATTGCTGCAGTAAAATGCTGTTGGCCTGAGAACTGTTTTGTTTCTTGAATCTTTTTCTGTTTTTTCCCTCACATATTAAATGTCAGCTCACTGTTAGATTCTCAGAGAAATTATTCTCAGTTTTTGGGGGACCCTGTTACGTTCTCAAATGTCCCACCTACAGGGATTTGTTCAATTCTCCTGGCTTACTTCTTTTTTTTTTTTGTACCGGGGATCGAGCTCCGGTCCTTGCGCTTGCAAGGCAGGCAGTGGCACCACTGAACTAAATCCCTGGCCCATTCCCCATTTTTAAAAGAACCTCACATCTCTTCTCTTTGGTCTGGCCATCTTTCCTCTGTGTGCTCTTTTTTGTTATTGTTTGGTTTTGGTACCAGGGATTGAACTCAAGGCCTCGCGCTTGTGAGGCAGGTCTGGTGCCACTGAGCTAAATCGCCGGCCCTCACCATCTTTTCTTAGCAAGACTTGTAAATGGGATCATCGATAATTTTACCAAGGTTATACAGAATAGGACATTACCCAAATCCGTGTGCAACTTTCATTTTCAGTGTTTTACCATAGTGAACATTTGAATTCTCAAAAGTCTTCTTCAGTCTCTGAGGGCCACTTTTTTTTTTCTGGTACCAAGTATGGAATTCAGGGCCTTGTGCTAGCCAGACAGGTGTGGCGCCACTGAGCTAATTTGAGGGACACTTTGAAACAGAGGTGTCGGTCCCAAGGCAGAATTCTTCTGAAGGTTCTGTTCTGGGAGAGTGAGCAAGTATCACGATGGAAAGCAGCCAGGATGGGAGGGAAGGAAGCACCGTGAGTGCAAGGAATGTGGGAAAGTCTTCAGATGTGACTCCTCCTTCATCAGTCACCAGAGGAACCACGCTGGCGAGAAGCCACACACATACAAAGGATGTGGGAGTACCTTTAATAGCTCTTCTCCACCATCAGTGTCTATCTATCATGTTTTTTTTTTTTTTTTGAGACAAGGTCTTACTATGTAGCCTAGGCTGGCCTTGAACTCACCGTGTGGCTGAGGCTGACCTCAAACTCGCCACAATCTTCCTATGTCAGTCTCTCAAGTGCTGGGTTTGGCACCATGTCCAGCCCTTGCCTCTTTTAAATGATCATAAAATTCATGTCAGGCCGAGAATTTAGCTCAGTGGTTCCGCTGCCTGCATTGTAAGTGCAAGGTCCTGAGTTCGATCCCTGGTACCAAAACAACACCAAAAAATTCATGTCAGCTAGCAGCCTTACAGATGTACTGAATGTGGGCAATTCCTTAGAAGCACTCAATATTTATTAATCACCAGAGTATTCATTCTAGAATGAAGCCTCATAAATGCAATGAAAAGCTTTCAGAAAGAACCCTATACTTTTCCATCCTCGAAATCACACTGGCCAGAAACCCTACAAATGTTGCAACTGTGGTAAAAACTTCGCTCAGAACATGGCCCTCACTCTCAACGAGAATACATTCAAGAGCAGTCTGTGGGAAGGCTTTCAGGGACAACGTGACTGTGCTGGAGCACTAGAAAGTCCACATGGGTGAGAAACTGTGAGTGCAATGAGTGTGGAAAAACCTTTAGCAAGAGCTCAGCTCTCATCAGTCATCAAAGAATGCACACAGGAGAAGGGCCGGGGATTTAGCTCAGTGGTTCTGCTGCCTGTCTCACAAGTGCAAGGTCCTGAGTTCATTCCCTGGTACCAAAAAAGAATGCACACAGGAGAGAAGCCCATCACGATCAAGTGTAGAAATCTCCCTGGTACAGCTCAACCATTGTCTGGCCCAGTGGAAACAAACTCGGTCAGTGTAGGGGCAGTGGGAAAGCTTTTATAAAGAGCTTAACTAGTATTGGACATCAGAGAACTCACTGGAGAGAACACGATCATTGTATGAGGTACAGCACAGGCCTCTGTTCAACATCAGAGGCTTCATGCTGAAGAACAGCCTGAAATGGAACAAATGTGGAATGCTTCCCCTCAGAGTTCAGCCCTTACACAAGAAAACTGGTAACCAAGAAAGAGCCATTGGATGTAGTTAGTGTGTTGTCATGCAGAAGTACTTTATTCCCTCTGACCGTCAAAGAGGAGACATTCAATGAATTACACATTTAACGAAGATGTGTACTTGTCTGGGAGAACTCCTCACTTGTAAGGGTGTTCATTGTGTGGTTTGCACGAATAAGATATTTGAGGAATGTAAATCTATCAATGTGGAAAGTTACTCTAGAATTGTGTACCAATTGAAAAGAATGAGCCAGAACTCCAAGTCAGCAGTAGAAATAACTCTGTGATACCTTAGGTTACATACAGCGGCTTGATGGGGCTGGGTTATAGCTCTGTGGTGGAGTGTCCCAAGCACCTGGGAGCACAGAGGCAGGAAGATTTTAAGGCTAGCAAATGAAAGGCTCAGAGCTCAATCTCCAGCACCACAAAAAGAACAATAAAAGCAAGTTGCAGAAAATCAGTATGTTATAGTCTAATTTATATTTTTAAAATAAAGCTATTCTTTAGTACTTGTACATATACATTATATGCGTTCAAAAAGACCTGGCAAAATAGAGGCAATACAGAAACTTTTAACAGTAGTCATCTTTGAGGAGGATGTGGTATTGGTATGATGAAGCCAAATTTTACTTGTGTTCTTTGAAATATTTAAACAAACATACATTAACATATAATCTGTAATTTAATATAGTTGCCTTCCTAATTTAGAAATTTAGAAGCCATAAAAATAAAATTTATAAAACCATGTAAAAACTAAAGCCTAAGGCTGGGGATTTAGCTCAGTGGCGCTGCACCTGCCTTGAAAGAGCAAGGACCTGAGTTCCATCCCCCGAACCTGAAATAAACAAAAAACAAAAACCAAAAAAACCCCAAACCTTTTGTATGACCAGTGACTTTACAGTGTTAAGATACAAGGAGTCAGACCATATCATAGTTAACAAATACTAAAGAGTACTTACATGTGAGAAAAACAAAAATTCGAGTGGGGAAATAGTTTTGGATCTGATTGTGCTATTGTTAGGAAAAGAAATCCAACTGGTCAAACTAAAAAGGGATGGTTACCTATAGAGAAATGTGAATTAAGAATCAGGTTTCTTGGGCCAGGGATTTAGCTCAGTGGCACCGTGCCTGCCTCAAAAGCACAAGGTCCTGAGTTTGATCTCAGGTAAGGGGGTCGGGAGGGGGGATCAGATTGCTGTGTCTGTATGGCAAAAAATTGATAAACTAGACAATATATGGTGCTTTTGAGAGTTCAAGAATATAGGCACACTTGCATATGAAATTGTGAATTAGCAATGTACTTGCTGGTGAGAAACATAACTTGTACCATTGTACCCTAACATTTCTATTAACAGTTAATAAAAGTGAGGCATGGTGGCACATGCCTGTAATCCCAGCACTGGGAGCACAGAGGGAGGAGGATTGTGAGGCCAGCCTGGCCTACACAGTGAGTTTGAGGACAGCCTGGACTATATAACAAGACCCTGACCTGAACTGAACCAAACCAAACCAAACCTGAAATAAAGATGGTCTTTACAGTGTTGTATTAATGAAAAATTGTAGTAATTGTAATGTCCATAATAGAGCAATAGTCAAATTAAGATACATGCCTTCCTTGTCATTTGTCATTTAATAATTAATTTAAAGGCAGTCCTTAAATCAATTAATATTTGATAAGTTAGACGTGTGAGAACTGACAGAAAGATGTCTAAGACATGGGTAAAATGGCTGAATAATAGAATAATGGTATAATACCCTTCCTAGATAGTTTATGTATTACTTGGACCTTTTATGATAAAAGTACATCATGGATAAGAGTTTAAAATATAAAAGAAATTAAAGCACATTTATAGAATGTATAAAACAGAAGGAAAGTCACACATTTGTTCTAGCAGCCCTAGGAAATGAATGTACTTGGGTTACCCACCAAGACCTCTACCCTTGTATATTCCCCTTCCTGAATGTGTGTAGAATTTGAGACTTGCTTCCAACTATGTACAGAGTATGGCAAACATGATGGAATGTCACTGCTATGATTAAGCTATGTGTGTCTGTGTTCTTAGTAGACTGTAAAGATAAACTGAGTTTGTTGGACTTAAAAGCAAACTGCCATATGGTAGCAGAAAACTTCCAGGCACCTAAGACAAACTTCAGCCAAGAGCCAGTAAGAAGCTGGGACCTTCAATCCTATAAGGAAATGTTTTCTGCCACCACCTGAGTGGGCTTAGGAAGGAATCACCTCTATCCAGAGTCCAGACAGGAATGTGGCTTGCTTGACAATTTGGGGTCAGAGGTCAGCAGGGCTGGTCATCTGAAGTTCTCTTGGGCTGGATGTCTGCAGTAACTAGATTCCACAGCACGGAGTTCATGCCAGCTGTTTCTTGGGAGCTCAGCTGAATCTGCCAACGAGCACACTTACATGCAGTTTATGTATTATAATGGTTTCAGAATAGTTGGGCTTTTCCCATAGCGGCAGGTTTCTCCTATAGCAAGTGTCCCAGAGAGAGCCAGGTAAGCTTTTCAGACCTATTCTTGGAAGTCATGTAGGATCACTTCTGTTGTTTCTGCTGTTTGAAGCTTGTTCAGATTCAGGAGAGGTGACATAGACTTGTATTTTCACGGGTGCCAAAGAACTAGTAATTTGCCTCATTCTTCTTAAAGTACACATTAAATAAACATACTTAAGTGTTGAATTCAATTGTACACTCATGAGTCTATCACCTGAAATAAGGGGTAGCACATTTTTTAATTCTATAAAAAGTTGTGTCTCTTTAAGTCAATACTTACTCTTCTGTGAAGATATATGAGTGAAATTATACACTAGATCTGTGTGCATGTATGTTTGTGTGAATATACTTAGGTTCTTTCACTCAACATATGGCTTTGAAATATATAATGTTACCTGCATCAGTTGTTTACTTTTTTCTCCTGTGGACTGAACCTAGGGGTGCTCTACCACTGAGTAACATCGATGCCCAGCCCTTTTTATTTTTTGAGACAGTGTCTATGTGCCCCAAGTTGTCTTTGACTTGGGCTCCTGCCTCAGCCTCTAGAGTAACTGGGAGTATAGAAGTGTGCCACTGTGCCTGGGTACTTACTTGTTTTTTATTGGTGACTTGTATTCATTGTATGAATAATTTATTTACCTCTCACCTCTTGTTGGGCCCCCGAGTTATTTCAGTGTGGCTATTATAAATGAGGATGTTAAGAACATTTTGTGTCTATCTTCTAATGTTACCAGAGTATCTTTGAGAATACTATTTTCTTACTAATCAATGCTCAGACTTTTGATGCAATTTTCCTCTCTAGATGATAAAGATCTGCTATTATGAGTTTTTTTAAAAAAATGTGGTACTGGGGATTAATTCCAGGATCTTTGCAGTGAACTATATCCCCAGCCACTTCCCCTTTAATTTTTTTTTTAAAATTTTGGGAGTGTCTTGCTAAACTGGTAAGCAGCCCAGGCTGGGCTCAAACTTCTGATCCTCCTGCTTCAGCCTCCCATGTCATGAGCTTGTGGGATTAAAGAGCCTACAGTTTATTGGATTTACTAGAAAACACACTCTATACTTCATTCATTAATTATATAAGTGCTCAGCGTGAAGTTATGCTAAAATTTTAGATGGCTAAAATTTAAAAAATGGAAATTTCCCCACAAAGTCAACTTCTGTTCAATTTTCTTCAGGTCTCATGCCCTAGAGGTTAAAAAGGTTAAATTTATTCTGTGGCGGAAGAGGACAGCACTGTTGTAGAACTTCAGGAGATTGGGATTTTTTTTTTAATTGCACACAGCTGTTGTCTGCTCTTCCGCTACAGGCAAATTATCTCTATCCATGTTAGGAATGGAGGTCTGAAGAAAATCTTAAAGTACAAACCCCAAAGCTTTGCAGGCTTGGAAAGGAAACCTCTGTAAGAAAAGGCTAGAGCCTCTGCTATGAACAGTAGTTTAGCACAGGTTATTGGGGTAATGATTTGTTATCCAGATAATGAAAATTTTAATAAGAGGATTATTAAAGTAATTAAAATTTCCCCCTGGATTCTGGCCATTAATCATGAATGTAAAACAAGATTAATTTGAATATGTAGGGAAGTAAAGGACCTTGGGGTTAACAAGAGGCTGCTTATTTTTAAAGGCTGATGGTATCATCTACAAATTGAAAATCTGTATCTGCTACATTCAGAATAATCTCTAGGATAGCACTAGATTAATGAGGGTACCTTGAGAAATTAGGTCATAATGAACTGATAAATTATGAAAAATACATGATAATGATAAACAAGACGTTTATTTTTCATATTCATCTGGGGGAAAGGAAAAAAGTCAGTTTATCCTACCTAACACTGGTCTTCCTAGAAGATTCGCCATTCATTCCACACCATTGGATAGGCTGTGTGACCGCAGAGGGTTTTGCATTCTTAATTCATAAAGATAACTTCCTTTAATCCATACAGAGAACTTCCTGTGAAGAAAGTCAAAGGGTGAGCCTTTGTGAGCAGCTTCGCTGGTGCACAGCCAGACTCCCTCTTTGAGTGAAGCTTTTTCCACACTGGCTGCACAGGTAGGGAGCCTCTCCTGTGTGGACTTTGCCATGCAGAACACAATTCCCTCTAGTATGGAAGCTCTTCCTACACTGGGCACAGGCATAGGGCTTCAGGCCCGTGTGCACCCGGATGTGAACGATTAAGCTACCTTTCTGACTGAAGGCTTTCCCACACTGGTCACATCTGTAGGGCTTTTCACCACTGTGAACTCTTCGGTGAACAGCAAGGTTACTTTGATTCCTGAAGCTTCTCTGGCAAATGGCACACTCATAGGGTTTCTGTCCAGTGTGGAGTCTTTCATGGACGGCCAGACTGCCTCGCTGACTAAAGCTTTTCCCACACTCTTTGCACTGATAGGGCTTCTCTCCTGTGTGTACTCGCTGGTGTGTAACAAGATTGCCTTTGGCCCGGAAGCTTTTTCCACAATGGGTGCACTCAAAGGGCTTTTGACCAGTGTGGATTCTCTCATGTAATGTCAGGCTACCTTTTTGCCGGAAGGACTTGCCACAGTCCTGGCACTCATAAACCTTCTGTCTCACTCCAGGTGAATCTTCCTGGAGTGTCTTAGAATCTGGAGACTTCTGTTCCAGCTTCTCTCTTCTGAAAGCATTCTGGAAATCCCAGCTGGAAGATCCTGTGGCCTCAGAGTGATCATATTTGTGGTGGGCTTCTGTCATCACATCTGGTAAAATGAGAGGGAAGTCATGTAAGATGCACCAATATACTGAGTGAGAATAGGAAAAAGAGAAACACAATAGTCTGAGTGCTTACTATGGGCTAGACATTATACTGTGAACTTTGTATAGTTAATTTAGTCCTGAAAGCAATCTCATGAGATTGCTACAGATAAGGAAATGAGAGCCTAAGGAAGGTGTCTGAAGTAACAACCTTAGATAAGTTAGGTCTGATTCAAACACCAGCATGCTCCATAGCCATGCACTATCTCCAAATTAAATACAGCCTCCAAAATCATCTTTTGAGGTAGACATGATTATCTCTATAGATAAGAAGAGAGGCTCAGAAAATTAAGGAAACTATACAGGATCACACATAGTCCTATGCTCAAGTTTTATCTGACTCCCAAACAGGGTGTGGGTCCAGGATACATAGGACCTAAAACTATAAAACTTTAGAGGTACTCCTTTAAAAAAAAAGTATAAAAGAGAAAGTCCTCAAAGAGACCAATGCCAGTAAGGCGTCCAGAGGCTTGAGCTGTATTAACTTCCTGAGAAATCCATCCTACTCCACTCTGTTCTTTTGCCAGTGGAATAAGCTTTATAACCTCAGAAAATATGAAGCAGAATCCTGGGTTTTTTAAATTTATCATCTCTAACCCTTTAATCCTACAAGCTTATTGTCCCATTTTATAGATGACGAGCCCAGAGATTAAGGAAGTTAAGTAACTTATCTGATACTGCAAATCTACCCAGGGCAATTACAGAATCTGATCAAAGGAATTTTTTCTTCTAATATCCATGCTATTTTCAATCTATTAAGCTACAGTAGTCCTGAAATCAACTTTGCCTTCACAATATTTCTTAAACACTTTCTTTGTATGGAGTTTTTTATCCTTGTAGTACTAGGGATAGAACCCAGGGCTTTTGCACTAAGCAACATCTGTAACCTTTAAAAATTTTAAAATTGGGTCTTGCTAAGTCACTATGTTGTCCAGGCTAGGCCTGAACTTGCAATCCTTCTGCCTTAGTTTCCCAGTGAGCTGGGATTAACAGGCATGCACCACTATGTCAAGCCTCATTTGCAGACACTGACAGTATTTTCCAATACTGCCCTGTATCTGAGCCTCTTAGTGCACTTTAAATATGGGTCCATTCACCACTATTACTAGTCTTCTTGGTGGCATCCTCGGGACGGTTTCCCCTGCTCCCCTACCTTATCCTTATTCAGTGATGGTGCGGAATTAAAGGTGCCCATTCATTCATATTCCACCTCAAGACTAACTCTGCATCAAGACTGCTCCCTTGTTCTGTTTTGACTGTTATTTCTTTTTCTTATTTTTGGTACCAGGGATTGAGCTCAGGACCTTGCACTTGCTAGGCAGGCTCCACTGAGCTAAATCTGGCCCTTGACTATTATTTCTAACTTTAGCTTATAAGTTTTTCCTATGACCCCAAGGAACAGGGACCACCACCAAAGGAATGTCTCTTCTGTATCCTCAGATTATGAATCACTGCTAAGGGCAGGGACCCTGAGTATGTGAGTGCTGAGAGCATCCCAACTACCAGCTGACTCACTCACTGAAAAATGCTACATTCTGGGCATATCTCCCATGACAGTCCAGCAGGGTAGCTGTTGGAAATCCAAACATGTCCACTCCTGGTCTGAGACCTTAATCACCACCTCTTCAGATGATTCTTCCATGGGCTATTCTTGAGCACCTAGGGCAGGGGACAAACAAAATAACAAAAACAAACAGGAAAGGGCAAAATTGGTAAGTGAGAAGGATATATTCAACAGAAGCTCCAGTTTGGGGTGTGAGGGGAAATAGGAAATCTAGATGTCACTGCAAAAAGGGATCAAAGATAGGACCACACAAAAATGAGTCCAGAAGGAAAGAGGATGTGGGAAAGCATGAAGATATACACATGCATTAGTTCCTGCTGACCTTATTAATGGTCACTCCTGTTTGTCTGGTTTTTTTTTGTACCAGGGATCGAACTCAGGACCTTGTGCTTTCGAGGCAGGCACTGGCACCACTGAGCTAAATCCCTGGCCCTGTTTATCTTTGATCTTGGGATGAAACTTGGATCTTCTACTTCCTATGTAACTATTTATTGCCTTTTATTTTTTCCTCCACACCCCAAGGAATTCATAATCTAAAAAACCAGCATTTCAACCTTCATGATTGGTTCTAGGGTAGAGTAACTCCAGCTCTTTTCCAGTTCTCGGTTATGCGGCCCATGCAAGGGCTTTTGTTTTCTTAGGAGGCTCTAAACCCAGACCCATCCTTCTCCTACTCCACTATTATTTTTTCCCTTTAGAATATTTCTTACTTTAGAACCCAGTTACTGAATTCTTACACTTTATTTATGTAGTGGTATGTGTGATCTGTTTCCTCTAATACATCCCATCAAAAGGCTGGACTCCTGAGTTAAGGAATTAGCAGTATGATGCTACAATTTTTAGTTAACCAAGTACCTGGCACTTCTTGACAATTGCATGTTCAGCTATATGTTGTGGTGACCAGTTCTTTTTGGAGGTTTTGGATCCAATGCAGAACACATGCTACCAAGAAGCCCCTTGTTAAGAGTGCTGGCACACTCGCCTGGCAGTTCGCAATATTACTAATCAATCAACAACTGCATATCCAGCCAGTGGAAATGTACAGTATATGGTACCTGGTGCCCAGGCCTGGACACTTTGTCACTGGGGATTCCAGAAAACTGGGTTTAGTCAGAACAAGTGAGTAGAACCTACAGCTCTACCTCTCCACCTGCTGTGAAATATCCAACAGACAACACTCAGCATCCTCTGGAGCCTCTTTGATTAAAAAGGGGAACTTGTGAAAGTGTTCGCCCTTGATCACAGGTGTGAGGAATCAAATTCTCGAAGATCTTGAAGACTTGTGATTTCGTAATAGAAAATATTGCTTTCCCTACCAGAAATGCTATTATCCTCCGGTGAAGGCTCAGAATGAGGTCCTGGATGCCTGCTTGGCTCTCACGTGTGCGACCAAGGGACCACACCACTCTGCTTCCTCTTACTAAACAGGTGGAGGGCACTGTCTTACCGGGTGGCTCCCAGGAGAGAACAAGACCCAAATGTGAGGGGTCTCAGATACGGGCTGCAGATTTAAGTCATAAATCTTGAGTCCCCAGAATGGCTGGGCTGGAGCGGGGCACATTTCACGCCTAGAGAATCTCTTGGGGATGGCTCCAAGGTTCAGGGGCTTCCTGCCGGGTAGATTCTCCCCACCCCGGGCGCCCCGCACTAGTGTGTGTGTGTGGGGTCTCCTCACCTCCCCGGGAGCTGCCCTGCCTGTCCCCGTGTCTCCTCTGCAGACGGCGGGGCCTTCCGCTTGCCCTGCCCCACCACGCTCGGTCCTGGCGGACCTCTCCTTCCGCCGAACCCAGCGAGCCCCGAGTCCGGGACTCAGGCCCCGCTCTCCGGCCCGGGGACCCTCGTCTGCGGGCTGTCCTCTCCCACCTGGCCTGGGTGGGTCTGGCCTGCTCGCGTCCGCGCGCGAAGGGCCCAGGGCGGAAACTTGGTGGCGGCCCCGCCTCGTCAGGCGCACTGACAGGCCCCGGCCTCACTCACCGCAGCGGCGCGTACCCGCAGACAAAGCCGGCGCCGAGCCCGCAGCTCAGGGGCGCAAGGCCGACCACAGCTCCCAGCAGCCCCGGCGCGGAGGACCACCGCTCCCAGTAGCCTCCGCGCGGTGCCCCACTGCTCCCAGGAGCCCGCACGTGACCGACCGCAGTTCCCAAGAGTCCCCGCGCGGGCTGGAGCACTGTGGGAAGTGTGGTCCGGTCCACGGCGTGCACCATCTCGGGTGAGAGTGCTGACCTGGAAACCGACAGTTAAGGTTGCTGCAAGACGCGTATGGTAAAGCCTCAGGTCCTCAGAGGTGATGTGTTGAGCTGCCGCTTGGGCAAAGACCAAGTGTTCTGTGAGTAGGGCTTGGAAGCTGGGAGCGAATACTTCAAACGATTTATTTGGGACGCTCTGTGGCCTTTTAACGAGAATTCTCTCCAGGAATAGTGGGTGAGAGAGGTCATCAGGCGTCAGAAAGGGTCGTCCTGGATTTGCTTGTGGTTTCGCTGACAAGCTGCGGGAGCTGTGGGCGTCTCACCTGGGGAAGCCCAGAGGTAGACAGTGACAGGGGCAGAGAAGAAATAGTTCTGCATGGACCTTACGGACCATGGAGAGAATACAGCAAATGAAAAGTTAAATTTTTATTGACTGAAGAGCTGTGAACTTCTCTGAGGACCAACAAGAACACAGGCAGTCAAAGCTTTGGCCCTGGGAAGGACCAGGGTTGCTTTTGAACATTTATGAGATAAATTCTCCCTAAAATGCCTCAACCTCATTTGAATGCACTTTTTTGGTACTGGGGATCAAACTCGACCTCGTGCTTGCAGGGCAAGCAGTGGAACCACTGAGCTAAATCCACAGCCCTTGAATGGACTTTTGTAGGACATTGGCCTCATCTTGGAGCTCTTTTGCCTGGTGGACTTCTCCAGAACCCCTCTCCTCCACAGTAGACTTGTCATCCTATTAGAACTTTAAAAAGACCGGTTCCTCTTGTGTCCTCGTTGTCTATCCCAAAGGCACACATCTGTTAGATAAAGCAAAAGTTTAGTTTCACACAATATGCTTTTGGGTCATATAAATAATAGTGATTCCTAAATGTTAATTATTACCATTAATAACATCTGTACTTAAATTCATTTAATGTGTATTTGTTGAGCCCATTTTAAGTGTCAGGTGCTGTGCTGACCCAAATGTAAGTATGATGCCCTCTGCACCTTAACACGTTGTTGGCGATCTGAGTGGGAATGAGAAAAAAACACCACCTTTCTGACACTTCGGCCAGAAGGCAAGTCCAAGAGTGTGTAGTGCAAACTGCTCTGAAGCTCACCACTCCTGGATGGCACCTCAGCACCATGGCCCAGCTCCCTGGGGCCCCACCTCCCACCTCCTCTCTGTCCTTCCTTTCCTTCTAGAGAGCCATAGGCACTTTTTTTATTCTTCAGAATCCAAGAGGCCCACAGAAATGCCAGTCTGCCTGTCTGAAGAGGACAGTTTTGTGTGGTTTCTCTTCCCTCTTCCCCAAGGCTCTGGGTAGGTGAGGGACAGTATTCCCTAACTTCTGTCAGGTGCTGTGACAAGCAGCACCATGTACCTTGAAACCAGTGCAGGCATATGGGTCCTATTGAGTTCAAGGCCAGCTGTGGAACAGGGATATGTTTCAGACTTTGCCATGAAAGTGGTTGACAAAGCTTTGGCAGGAAAAAAGTGGCTGTGAAGGGCAACTATAGTCATGTTTCTCTTGTAAATTTGCAAAAGTTCTCTTAAGGGATTTCAGGAAAGTGGACATACTGAACGGAAAGTGGGGCAGATAGTGGTTAGGATTGGGGTTGATGAGCCTAAGATGAGAACCAATTCTCCCTAGACACTTACCAGTCCTCAGCCACTGCCTGCATCTTAAGGCAGTTACTTAGCAGGAAGGAGGGTGTCAGCAATGTAGAGTTGACAGCCTGTCAGAGAACTAGTCTCCCACCCCACAGACATTTCAAAACATTAGGGGAAGGAAAGATAATTCAATAAATGGTGTCATGACAAAAGGCTAGACATTGGAGGGAGGTAAAGTTAAATGTTTACCTAACTTCTATGCCAAGATAACCACCAGAAAGATTAAATATAGAATGTGAAACACAGATCCATAAGTGGCCCAGAAGAACACATGGATTAATATTTTTGCAATCTTGGCATAGGAAAGGCTTTCCTAACCTTGGTAACAAAGGTAGAAACAACAAAGAAAAAGATTATAATCCAGCACTTCTGTGTGGCCCAAACACCAGTAAGTGAAATTAACACATGACAAACGGAGAAAATATTTGCAACTGTCATATTTAAAGACACCATACAAATCAAGAAAAAACCCCCCCAATATTTCAGTAGAAATGTGGCCAAAGACAGCAACATTTTAAAGAAAAACACTCTGATTTACTATTTGGTTTTAAGTGCCAATTGAAACAAAGAAAAATTTCTGCCAAACTACTTAATGGCAGCCTGCAAAGGGTAGTATTAGAATGGACATTTTTATCCATGTGTAAATTGAGACAATCATTCCAATTAGAGATTTGACACTACATATCAAAAGTTAAATGTCTACATATGGCTTCTAGAATTATTTTCCTCAAGAAAAAAAAATCAGGTAATTGTATGTTAAGTGTGGAATAAAAGCGGTGGTGTCCACGTCTTTGAAGTGAGTTATTGGCTTGGAAAGGACTCTCAGACTGTTTGCTCCAGAAACTTCCATGAGACATCCAACCTCACAGGAAACTGAAGCCTTCCCTTGGTGCTATAGCTCTGTACAGATCATTAAGGTCTGGAGTGGTGGTGTGAACATCCATCCTCCTGGAAGTGTTCATCAAAGTAGTTTCCTTTATGCTTCACATCTGTGTTTACTTCAGTCCCTGTCTGAAAGTTAAGCTGCCTAAAATAGCCTTTAGCAACTGCACTTAGCCCCTGGCCACAACCATGTGCATTCATGGAAGTAACCAGCCTTCCTTCCATCTCTTCTGAACTTGTGTCCTCTCAGCGCTGGGAAGGGAGCGGTTTCCTTCTGAGATGCCTACCTGTTCAGCAGCCAGGTTTGACTCAGTAGGATAAAGGAGTGTGTTTTGGTGCAGGTCTCTGGAAAGGCTGTCAAACTCTGAGTGAGAGCCACCAAGTGTCTTATTTGTCAGGCTGGCTTCTACTTGAACAAGTGATCTGGTTTGCTGAAGTTGCTTCTGTCCTTTTAAATAAATGTGTCTTGTGTTTGACCTCACTATCACCTGATTTGTAAATTCAGGGTACTGAGAACATGGATTTCTTGATCCTAGAATACGCCATGAATTTGTCTCCCACAATTATTTAAACCAAAATCATTCATCTTACAAAAGCTGTTTGTGCTGGCTTCAGGCTATTTGTTCTTGCTATTATTTCTACCTTTTAGCTAGCTGTGTCCTTCTTCAACCTCTTGATGGGTTTGCTTATAAACCAGAAGCAGGGGTCAGGGGAGGGGTGTCACAGATGACCCACTAGTGCATATCTATGTCTCTGGCCAGGGCAGCAGGCTGGCCACCTCTCCTGTTGAGGCCCTAGTGCCTGGTGCTGATCCTGATCCCATTTGGTGTCCCTGAGTGGACCTCGATGAGGACCCCTTTTGAATGTTTGTGGTGCTGTTGGCTCACAAACAGGAGGGGTCCTGTGCAAGTGAGTCCTCTCAGAACACACCTTCACACAGGTGGGAGGGGTGCACTAAGCCCTACATCTCTGCTGTCTTGTAAAAAGGACTCTGATAGGTGGCCAGAGGTTGAGGGTGTGAGTGTGTTGGAGCCAGAAGCCCTTTCTCCCTGGATCCTCTGCTGGTGCCCAGGGCCACTTCCCCCACACCTGGATCCCACTGTAGCCCTTGGAGCTGGCTTCTTCACAGGACTCCCAGGTGGAGTTTGTGTGGGTCTCTGAACTCATAAAATGGCCAAAGTAGACTTAGAGGGTCTTTAGGGCAGATGACGCATACTTTTCATTAAGGAGCTGGTTGTTCTCCAAAGAGATTAAAGTAATTGCCCAGGGGCAACTGTGTCTCCACAAAGTTCGTGTGTCAGAAACTTAGTCTCCAAATTCATATGTTAATGGTATTTGGAAATGAGGCCTTTGGGAGGTCAGAGATCCTAAGAGATCATGGAGGCCCTTGATGAAGTTAGTGGCTTTATAAGAGTGAGAGAAACCACTTTGGCTTGCTCCTTTGCACCACATAAAGCCCTCACCATGTTATGATGCAGAGTGTGGTCCCAGTAGAGGGTGACAGATGCTGGTGGCAGGCCCTGGGATTTCTGAGCCTCCAGGATTATGATACAGGTAAACTTCTGTTTTTTATAAATTAATTGGTCTCAGATATTTTGTTACAGCAACAGAAAATAGACTAAAACAATAGTTATCTTAGAGAATCCTTGAATAAGCAGAGATAGATCATTTCAAACTTCTAAATTAATTTATTTTTGAGATAGGATCTCACTATGTAGCTCAGGCTGGCCTTGAACTTGTGACACTCCACCTGCCTCAACCTTTTATTTTTAAATTTTTTTTGGTACCAGGGATCGAACTTGGGTCCTTGTGCTTGTGAGGCAGGCGGCGGAAACACTGAGGTAAATCCCTGGCCCTCAACCTTTTAAACTGTTCATTTTGAAATGATTTCAGACTTACAGAAAAGTTGCGAACATATACAGAAATTTTGCATATATCTTTAACTTAGCTTCCCATAACATTAACAACTCACAGAATTATAGCATTATAAAATGAGGAAATTAACAATCAGTATGATATACAGTTGTAATACTTAACGGTAAACTAGTGACTTTGTTTGAATTTCACCAGTTTCCTTTGTCCTCTCCATTTTCTGTTCCAAGATCGCATCCAGGATTTTCCATTTCATATAGTTGTAGTCGCATCTCCTTAATTTCTTCCAATCCTGATATTTCTGCATTTTAAAGAAGAAAATAAAGCTTGTTGGTGGTAATGATGCTAAAGTACAAGGTGACTATAAGGACATGAAAATGATTTGCCTCTCTCTCTTCCTTCTTTTTCTTTTTTTGGTACTGGGGATCGAACTTGGGTCCTTGTGCTTGTGCAGCAGGCGGAGAAACCACTGAG